GCCCTTGTGTCCGCAGGCGCCGGAGCCGGTGCGGCCGCCGCGCTGCCCCTCGCCCCTCCGGCCGGCGGCCGGCCCCGAGCGCACCTCGGAGCGGGAGACGCAGACGGCAGAGCTGTCCCTGACCGTGGTGGCGGCCGTGCAGGCGGTGGAGCGGAAGGTGGATTCTCACTCCACCCGCCTGCTCGACCTGGAGGGTCGGACGGGGATGGCGGAGAAGAAGCTGATCGACTGTGAGAAGACGGCGGCGGAGCTGGGGAACCAGCTGGAGAGCAAGTGCGCGGCGCTGGGCACCCTCATCCAGGAGTACGGGCTGCTCCAGCGGCGCCTGGAGAACATGGAGAACCTCCTGAAGAACAGGAACTTCTGGATCCTACGGCTGCCCCCAGGCAGGAAGGGGGAAGTCCCCAAGGTAACGGTGTCCAGGGGTGCGGGAGCCGGGCTCTGCACCCGAAATGCTCCCGGAGGGCAGGACTGGGGTGGGTGAGCAGGGACAGCCCCTGCACAGGTGAGTCTCTCTCTCTCTCCACTGCAGCTGCTCATTGCAGCTTCCCAGCTCATCCCCTGCTGGGACTAAAATATGGTAGGACAGAGGCCTGGGAGGACATCCTGGTACTCAGGCCAGAGGTTTCAGTTCTGCTCCACTGCGCTGCACAGCCCTGGGGGCGTTGACTCTTTTTTTGTTCGGTTCTTTTTGCCACCACTTGAAAAAGCCCTGCAGATTTTGTGATTCTTTTGTTTTGACCACCTTGATGCTGCAGAGTCTCCCAGGCTGGGGAAGGAACAAGTGGGAGCTGCTGCTGCAGGGAAGGGGAAGCTTTGGGATTCAGGAAGGCAGATGAGCTCCATGAGCTCTAGAAAGAGCCCACCATCAATATTCAGCTCCTACTTGAATTTCACAACCTTCCTGCTAAAAGAGAGTGTGCAAACGAGCCTGTGTAAGACACGGGAAAGGGAGCATCTCTGGAGAGAGCAGAGAGGATCAGGAAAAGGTGGGTTCAGACCTGACACCCCATTAGTGTGGTTGGGGGACAGAACTGGAGTGCTGCGTTGCCTCTGAAGACCTCTGCTCCAACACGGCACGATTTGCACATCCTCAATTTATCCTTAGGAATTATTCCTTGGCTAACAAGCTGGGAAGCTGCAGATGGTGAGCACACAGGGATAATGGGGAGCCCTGTGGGCCTGGGTAGAGTTTTCCCTGGACTTCTGGGGTAATTGAATCCAGGAGTTACGTCAGCTCATCAATAGGGATGAGTCCAGCCCAGCTCCTGGGTTTTGTCTCCTTTACGGTCTCCCAAGCCTGAGCACCCTGCAGAGAGCAGGGACTCAGAGGAGGAGCTTGGGGTCCTTTGGGGAAATCCCAGTCTGGATTCATCACTAAGAACCACCCATTTGGTTAAGTCCTTCATTCCCAAAGAAATACCTGCTCAGGAGTTGTTTTAAATGTAAAAATATAATGCTTTAAATGTAAAAAGCAGCTCATTGATGGCGTGGAAGGAGCTGAAGCCTGGCTGTGTGCAGGCTCCTGCTTGAACCCGCTGTTGGAATTGCAGGTGCCGGTGACCTTTGATGACGTGTCCGTCTATTTCAATGACAAGGAATGGGAGAAGCTGGAGGAGTGGCAGAAGGAGCTGTACAAGAATGTGATGAAGGGGAACTACGAGTCCCTGATCTCCCTGGGTAAATACGGGGGGTCCTCGCCCTGCTGAGGGACAGGAGGCTCCTTCTGGCTCCTCCTTGGAGATCCCCTCTGATGAGACCCAAATGTCCCAAACACAGGAGGATGTTTTTAGTCTGGGTTTATTCCAGCTCATGCTGTGGTGGTGTTCTGCCTGGGTGAGGGATGCCCTGTGGGCAGGTGGGCTGGAGACCTCCCAAACCTCTTCCAGCCAGTTATGCCATCAAAAAGCAGCTCCTTCCCCATGGCTGTTGGGAGGGTTGCCCTGCATCTTCTGGGTCTGCAGTGGGTACCAGCCCACACACCCTTTTAGAGGTTTTTGAACGTGTGGATGTTCCTGAGCATCCTGGGAAGAGGTGGAAGGCAATGTTGGATTCCCAGTGCAGTAACCCCTCTCTCCCACCCCTCTGTCTCTCAACAGACTATGCAATTTCCAAACCTGGTGTTTTGTCTCAGATCGAGCAAGGGGAGGAATCACGGGGCAGGAATGAGCAGGACCTGGAGGAGAGTGAGATCATTACTGATGCCACGGCAGGTGAGGCGGCACCTTGGCACCAGGGCAGCCCTGGGTTGTGTTCCCAGGAGCTGCTCATCCCAAGGCTGAAGCAGATGTTGCTGGAAGCAGTGGCTGGTGTGGTTGATCATGTGAAGCCTTGCCTAGGATAAATTTGGCTGGTTGGAGGTTTGATGTCCAGGTACAGCTCAACATAGAAACCAGGACAAGCAGAGCCTGGAGAGTTGGGCACTGGGAGTCCTTCCCAGCAAGGGAAGCATCTGCAACCAGACCAGGTCCTCAGGGAACCGGTGTGCCCGGCAAGGAAGGAGAATCGGGTCCCATTGGGAGAGCCGATCCACCCAGAAAATCCTTTCCACCCTCTCTTTGTGTGGATGGTGTCTGGGTTTGGAGCATCCTCCTGGGAAGGGAAGCCTGGTCCCATGCTGTGTGCAGGGAGATGGGATGCTGAGGGGCAAGACTGGGCTGGGAATGGGGTACCAGTGACCCCGAGTCCCAGAGCAACTCCTGTGCTGTGATAAGGAGATAAGAAAGTGGCCTGAAAGAGATGGTGTCACCTCCACTCATCATTCCTGATTCCAGGCTGTGGATGTGGGGTCACACCAACACCCTGCTTGTGCTTTCTATCACAAGGATCTCAAAATTAAATTGAGGCCCATGGGAAGAGGAAAATGACCGGCCCACGTGGAGCTTCAGCCTGGGGGATGTGGGGCGGCTGAGCAGTGCTCTGCTGTGGCACCCAAGCTGAGTGGAGCGAGTTCCCTGTGCCTGCAGAGCATCCCGGGCTGGAGCTGGGAGTGTGGCAGGGATGGGTGAAGGGCAGGGGCTGAAGGGAAAGCAGAAGAGGCCGAGCAGATGAAACGCTCGGCGGGATCAGCAGCTGGAGCTGGCAGGGATTGCTGGGAGCAGGTCCTTTGTCCTGGCTCCTGGGAGTGATGGTGAGTGGGAATCTCTCGTTGTTGCAGCTGGAATAAGGGTTGTGATCAAAACGGAGGAGCTCCTTCCTGAAGACAGCCCCGAGAACCCCGAGCTGCACGGGATGTCGGGGCAGTCCGAGGGCAGCTTCCAGAGCCCAGATGAGGAGGCAGCTTGTGAGAGCCCCTACGGCTCCGTGTCCCCACCCAGGGACCTCCCGGGCACCAGCCTGGGGGACTCATCTGAGTACGGAGCCGACTTCAACGAGATCCAGAGGGTCATCGTTCACCATGGGAGCTGCACAGGTGAGATGCTGGGGACACGGCTCTGCACACGTGACAGGAGGTCTGGGGGCTGTGGTGGGTTAGGAAAAGGTGGGGAAGGGGTTGGAGGTAAATCCCCCCAGAACCAGCACCAGAAGGAAAGTTTCTGACTGCAGCAACTTCCAAGAGTGGCTCTGGTCAGCCCTTAAGCTTGGAGGAGGAGGCAGCACATCCATGGTGGATACAGAACGTGGTCTCTGAAGGCTCCTGTCCAGCTAAGGAGCAGAGCAAGTGCTGGGCCAGCCTGGGAAAAGCCACGGAGAGCAAGGGAAGATATGTCTCAGGCAGTGTTCTGTGAGAGCCCTGCTCCCAAAATCCGGCTGTGGCAGAGGGCAGGATGTTGGTGAGAGGTGTGGGGGAGTGGATGGTTACACACTGGACACTGCTGGGGCAATGTGGATGGTCCTGCAGGTTGCCAAGCGTGGCAATTGCTCGGGGCAGCTCCACAGGATAGGGAAGAATGTGGCTGGAGCTCTGTGGTTTGCGAGCTGCCAGGAGGGAAGGGGAAGGATGAGGTGATTTGTGGAGAGATGAGATGATGGTACCAAGTGTTTCATGTGTAGGATTCTGCCAGTCGAGTGGCAGATATGGGCCAAGTCCTACAGATGTGCTGTCAGGGTGGGGATGGGAGAGCAGGGAGAGGAGAGCTTGGGAACGATGGGTTCCGTCCTCCTGACGGCTTTGTGGCGGTGTAACACAAACCAAGGCACAGAGAGTTGGGCTCTTGAGGGCCTCAACTCCGTCTTGTGGGTCCTGTGGTCTGCTCAAGGCTTTGTGAGGGAAACCAGCCAAGCCACCAGTGGGGCTGGAACTGATCCTTGTCTGAGGGCTGCTGCCTCTGCAGGGTGTGGGGCCTGACCGGTGGGGCTGAGTGGGAGCTGTGGCTGTGCTGGTCAGGATGGGGGGCTGAGCCCCAGGTCCATAGAGGGGGCAGGGAGAAGGAACTGGGTTTTCCCTTCCCTCAGAGGGAAGAGGGCCATGGCTTTGACACATCCACTCCCATCCATTTCCTTTTCTTGGGAATGCTCTTCCTGGGAGAGCATTTAGGCCTGGCCCACAGTCCAGCATGGGGTGACATGAGGGATGCTCTGAGGGCCATTCCTGGGGCTGTGCTGGACACAGGTCCCTGGGATGGCTGCTCTCACCAAACAAAATCCCCAGCTCACTTTTGGCCTCGGTGACACGAAGGGGAGCCTGGCCTGCTGCCATCCATCCTGCTGCCGTTCCATCCCACTGCTGGGTGCTCTGGGAAGGAGAGGGGTGGGTCTCTCTCCACGCCACATCATGGCGAGGCTGAGGGAAGGGGACGGTCCCCTGTGGGCTGTGCTGTCCCCGGAGCAGAGCTGGCAGCCTGGTGCCGTTTCTGCCGAGCGGTGCCGTGCCGGGAGCGGTGCCGTAGCCCAGTGAAACAGCGGCACATGGAGCTGCTCTGAAATCACTCGGCCACCCGAGCCCTGGCGAACCCACGGCGCTTTTATCCCCCACATCCTGCAGCAGCACCAAGTTGCAAACCTTTTGGCAGGCGGTCGGAGCGCACCCTCCAGAGGAGCCTGACCGGGGGTGGTTTGTCTGAACTTCTTGTTCAGGGGGCACATGGCCCATCCCAGCGCTCTGGGCTGCAGCCAGCTCGTGTCAGGGTGCTCAGGCAGAGCAGGCAGGCACAAACAGCTGTGGGAGCCCATGCAGATGTTTCTGTAGCAGCCAGGGGTGTAGGAGACCGCCCTGTCCAAAACACTGACCCTAACGCTGTTCAATTTTCCCCCTCAGAGGATGGGATCGTGATCAAGACGGAGGAAGAGGAGGAGGAGGAGGATGA